TTTTGGTGGTGTGGTTCCAGCGCAGCGGCGGGCGGCAGTCGACTCCCTTCTCCGACAATTGGTTCTTTTTCTCTAGCGGGAGGCTGGCGATTAGGATTTGAGTTTGGTGTGAAGTGAGATATTTATATCCGTCTCCCTTAAATCTAGACTATTCATCGCGTTTGATATCGACCGTCCGATCGCGTTTAAAGAAAAAATAAATCTGGACTGTCTATCGTGATTTGATCTCAACCGTACGACAGTGTTTAAAAAATGAACGAATCTGGACCGTTCATCGTATTTAATCGCGGACATGCGGATTGTCAGTGTGGTCTCCCGCGTGGCACCGAGTCAGCGTGCCTTGCCACGCAGCGTGCTCCGGTTTGTCAGAGCTGTTGACTGGACAATCCTACGTGGCGCTATTTTTTTAATTGTGTTTTAACCTTCAGTTTCTGATTTTTTTTAAAAAAAATATCACTCGAATCTAAATTTTCACCATTTTTTTTAAAAAAATTATTTTTAATTTTATCATCAACCTATTTTTTTTAATTTTATATTAAAAAAAATTTAAAAATTTAAAAATTATATTTTTATATATTTTTTTAAACTTTAAAATTAATTCCAGAGTATTATAATTAATAATTTATTAATTTAATTTTTAGATTATGCAGCACCAGAGGAATTTATCTATAATTTTTTTAAAAAATAAAGAATAATCAACTCACTTCGATCTTGACTTGTTTTCCACGCCAGTTTGAGGATTTGGTCTATGCACAAGAACAAAGTCTTCTCCCACTAAGTCAATACTTAAATATGAATATTACATCATTTTATATTTGTAATTTAATTATTTTATTAAAATTTATAAAAATAAAATTTAAAATGCACTAATTATATTTATAGAATTTATTAAACTTTAATAAATTTTAAAATTAAAATAAAATATTAATGAGAAAATATGACTCCTTAGGCACGAAGCATTTTCATTGAAGTTTCCAATGCTTTCACTCGAAATTCAACAGAAGCAGCCTACCCAGAGAAGAAGATAGTTGACATATACATATACATATGTATATATATACACACACATACTCGTCTGTAATATATATATATATATGTGTGTGTGTGTGTGCGTATATAAGAGGATCAAAACATGTCTAGTTCTACTGATAGGCAAGAATCACCAGAAGCCAATTTTGAGGCACCGAACTTGTTCAGTTTTTTTTATGAAGATGAATGGGTTAGGGTAGAAGACGACGACCTTAGTTCACTGGTCTTCGGCTCCAATACTCAAAACTCTCTTCACATCCCAACTCAACCAGTTCAGTTTCCACAGATTAATACAACTATTACTACTATAGTTACCCAGCCTTCGCGAAGTGCTACAACTGCTACCACTATAGTCAAGCAACCTCAATTCCCCATTATAGGTAAGTTTACATATTTATTTTCTTTATTTAAATATTTATTTGTCAAAAACATATATTAATTTCATATTTATTTTGTTAATTGCTTTTTTTTTTATAAAAAAAATAAAGAATTGAGTTAGAGCAAATAGTTTCACGACAAATTTGTTTTTCAATTTTTTTAATTTTGTTCATTCTTATTTTTATTTTTATTGTAATTAGAGAAAATAGGCATATTTTGTTGAAACTTCTTTTATGATGGTTGATAGTAGATAAATTTTTTAAGTGATTCATGGAATTTTGATATTTTGCAGAGGCAAATTTATGTTCTTGGTATTAGTATTTTTCAAAATAAATATATAATTGATAGTTTTTAAGAAAAAAAAAAAAAGTTTGCAAAATAAGGGTCTTGAAGACTTTTACAGGACTTATATAATAATTATACTATATGATTATTAACAACTATTATAAACACTATATGGTTTTATTTTAAAATGGGTAATCATCACAAAAGTTAAAATTAATATAATTTAGCATTTGAATATTTAGTCTCATGTATTTGAAATAAAATAAAATAAAAAAATTGTGCAATTTACTAAAAAATTCATGGAATTTTTTATTTAAAAATAATGAAAATTAAATATTAAATTATGTAAAATTTTCGTTGGAACTTTGGGAATGCACTACTAAAAAAAATTAAAAATGAGAATTATGTGGGATTGATTTTGTGTGCAGGAGAGATTGAAAGGGAGGATAAGAAGGAAGTGAAAGAAAGATATGCATTTAAGACAAAATCAGAAGTTGAGATATTGGATGATGGATTCAAGTGGAGGAAATATGGTAAGAAGATGGTGAAGAATAGCCCAAATCCAAGGTATGGTTCCAATATATTCATTACATAAGGATTTTATAGTTACATATGATTATAATTGAATTTACTAGTTTTCATCATCTCACCTTACAATTTAAAAAGGAATTTTTTTTTTAAAAAAATATTATTTTATTTATCCTTTTACATAATATATTCCTTTATACAACTTATATTATTCTTACATTCTCACCATTGCTTCTCTTTTCCTACATTAAGGGAAGCCTTCTTCACCCCTTAAGAACTCAAAAATCATATCTATGGTGGGGTTGTTTAACTTAAACAATTATTTGTTAATTATTATAGATATTTTTTATTTTTGTTTATAAGTGGATAAACTTTATATGTGCATGAAATTATAAGTTATTGAAAATAAACAAAATATGTATTTCATTAGTATGTTTTTATTTAACTTATAACAATGCATAAATAACGAGATTTTAATTTTAAAATGTTTATAAATTTGAACACATCAAAATGATTTAACAGGACATATAAATAATTTATTATATTAATAATTTATAATATATATGTATTTAAAGTACAACAGTAGGTGCTTAAATATTATTTGTTTCTATTTTAATTTAACAAGACTTATAAAATATTAATAAGTAAAAAAAATAGGTTAAAGACTGCCTATAAATATGAGCATGTTATATGTAATGAACAGGAATTACTACAAATGTTCAATTGAAGGTTGTCCAGTGAAGAAAAGAGTTGAAAGAGATAAAGAGGATCCCAGTTACATAATAACAACCTATGAAGGATTCCACAATCATCGAACCACTTGTTAGTTCTTACTTAATAGTATTGTAGTCTTTATGTTGGCATTCAAGAACATTTTATGTTGTCATCGGTTTTTTTTTTGTAATATTATGTTAATAATTCAATCGTTTATGATGTTAATTAAACTCTAGCAAGATTTTAACAAAAATAATTTCTAATTCTCATTTCTAAATAATATATGTTTCTGTGTAAGAGTGTGTGTGTGTGTGTGTGTGTATAAACATGTATAAAGATTGAAAGTAAAAATATTGATCATAAAATAAAAGTAAAGATATGAAGAATATGAAGAAAATAAAAATTCGTAAATGTTGATAGATTTACTTTTTTTTCTTCATTGTAATGGTTAAAGAAATTAAATATTCTTTTGTCATGTCTTTAGTGCTTTTTGAAGAAACTTTAGCAACTTATTATACTGTAATTATAGATATGAGTAAAAGAAAAAACTACTAAAAACGACAAATATTAGATTTGAGAATGACTTTTCTCTCTAGTAGATTATGTACTAAAAATAAATTTTGGTGTTGCTTTTGTCTCTTTTTGCAACTTACATGACTATAGAGCTATCATGAGTACCTATGTCAAAGATTAGTAAAATGACTTAGTTAATCAATATGATGATAAATAGGTTAAGAGGTCATGGAAGAATGTTACGATTGGCGTAACAAAGGATATGATGGTAGAAAGGAAACTAAAGTTAAAATGGAAAAAGATTCGAAGGAATGAGAATCTCATATTGTAACGGCCCCGAAATTTTTAAAATGAATTGTATATTAAAAATATCAAATGCGGAAGAGAAGTCAAAAATTGGATTAACATCCCTTACACTAAAACCAAAAACGTGCTTACAAAATATAAAAGATCAACTACCTAAAGGAGAAACTTGAAAGTAAAAGCTACGAATATGACTATGGAGTCTTTAGGTGTCCCTTTCGTCGTCCTCCTGCGAAACCGGCTCGGGAACAATGTCTTTCTGATCTGAAATGATTAAATAAGGAATGAGCTACACTAACCCAGTAAAGACATCACGATATCTCACCGTCACGGAGGTAAAGGTGGGTAGAAAACACAAAAAGACCAATGGAGCATAATTTACAACAAATTTTTTTATCAATAATAAAACCTTTACAATTCACTTGCCTCGGTGAAATTCATAAAACAATATACGAAAGCAATAACATCATCATCATCATGAAATCATATATAAACTGTATAACATAATACTTATCAAGCCTTTCGTAATTCAATCGTTACACAATATATTTTCCTCATTTACCAGCCCACTAGTATCCATGAGGATTCATAGGGGTCCCGCTACCCGTTAACCCTTAACACTTGAAATCATATTCCAGGGCTGTCCCCATACCCCGTCCGGTATGGGCGCTAAAACTATAAACCTCATTACCCCGTCCGGTATGAGGGTGAAACGGGCCGTCCCCATACCCCGTCCGGTATGAGCGCCAAAACACATAAGATCTCTATACCCCGTCCGGTATGGGAGACCACAATCCCGGTAGGGTTCCCTACGGACCCGGTCCGTCCACCATCTCCCAGAATATCTAGTCAGGCTGACCACATTATACGATTACCCATTTACATAATCTTTCATTCTCTTTTTTCCTCAGTCAGCATCATCAATTCACATACAAACAAATAAAACGGTAATTTATGCCAAACAGACAACATACAGCATCAATATCCCAGTCATTCAATCTATAATCAATAAAACAGTAAAATATGCACACGAAACTATAAAATGAAAACATCAAATCTCATACTGCATTTAAAACTATAAAACAGGCCAAATAACAGTTAACCGACAACACACTAGACTCGGGCTCCATTAGCGACCTTAAGCAATTTCACACATTCGTTGATTCATGAAATGTCATTTTATCATTTATTGAACTTTAATACCGTGATAGGAAATAGGGTGAGGGGTCCTTACTCGTTTTGGGGTCCGAACACGGCTTCACAGTGTGCCTACAGGCTATCCCTAATTTTTCCTGAATTTTTTTCGGGGAACTGAAACGCACTACTGGTACCTGCACGTGTTCCAAAAAAAATTCCAAATTAAGCCCAGGGCCCCTTTCGGCCAATATCGCAATTCCGGCAACGGCGCCGCCGCTTGCGGCGGCGATTCGCCTCAATTTGGCCGTTTTCGACCGTTTCCGGCCGAATTCGGCCACACTTGCATCGATCCTTGCGATTAAACAACTCTAGGGCCCTCGGGGGGCCAAAAAATTACGGAAAACCGAAGCTTACCGGCGGCGGTGCTCTCGGGTGCGGCGGCTCTCCGGTGAAGTTCGTGTTTTGGTGATTCGGCTCCGATCAACTTGTAGAGAAAAGAATGGTGATCACGGTGATATAAAAATTGCATTAAACGGAGGTCGGGAAGGGCCTCATCGGAGGCAAAAACCGAGGAGGGGCGCGGCGGCGCCGCTGGGTTTCGGCCGTGTTTTCCGGCCGTTTGGCCGGGATTTTGGCTCTGATTTGGCCACAGGGGAAAGGATCTTATGTGTTTTGGCGTCCATACCGGACGAGATATGGGGACGGCCCTGGAATATGATTTCAAGCGTTAAGGGTTAACGGGTAGCGGGACCCCTATGGATCCCCATGGATACTAGTGGGCTGGTAAATGAGGAAAATATATTGTGTAACGATTGAATTACGAAATGTTTGATAAATATTATGTTATACAGTTTATATATGATTTCATGATGATGATGATGTTATTGCTTTCGTATATTGTTTTATGATTTTCACCGAGGTAAGTGAATGGTGAAGGTTTTATTATTGATAAAAAGATTTGTTGTAAATTATGCTCCATTGGTCTTTTTTGTGTTTTCTATCCACCTTTACCTCCGTGACGGTGAGATATCGTGATGTCTTTACTGGGCTAGTGTAGCTCATTTCTTATTTAATCATTTCATATCAGGAAGACATTGTTCCCGAGCCAGTTCCGCAGGAGGACGACGAAGGGGACACCTAAAGACTCCATAGTCATATTCGTAGCTTTTACTTCAAGTTCTCCTTTAGGTAGTTGATCTTTTATATTTTGTAAGCACGTTTTTGGTTTTAGTGTAAGGGATGTTAATCCAATTTTTGACTTCGCTTCCGCATTTGATATTTTTAATATACAATTCATTTTAAAAATTATGGGGCCGTTACACATATACTAATAGGAAAGAGGATTTTGATGATAGATATCGTAATATTAGAATGTACTTAATAAATTATGGCAATCTAAGAGGATTTTGATTCCAACACCTCTTGACTTGTTTAAGTTCATCATGGGTTGTGACTAGAACATTTACCCAAATAGACATTAAGGAGATTTCACACAAAAATGGCCGGAACATTCAATTCGAAGGAGACACTAGTTAGATGCTATAGTATTCTCATTGCAGATTCAGAGGCTCTTTTACACCCTCATATTGTCAAATACATTTTCTAGAGAAATATCTCTTACACCATCTTCACCAGACAGACCATAATTCTTTTATAAATGTGTACCACTTTTTCCCTCATCATCACTACATTCTTTTATCAAGAAAGGAATGCCTTGAGCACTAATTACACCCTTTTCTCAATCTTTCAAATTATACTCCATTTATATTTACAAAAATAATATGTATCACTAACTAAATACGAAAATAATAATATGAACACCTTGTTGAGCATAATGTGACAAGCAAGAAAATATTAAATTGATTCAAAGAGTCATTTGAGGCGTTTTGTCGAGCACATTACGAGCAGCCTTTATGTCTCTTCATTGACAACAACCTACGGCCTATACGTCTCTCTAAATTAACCGAACGACATAAATTATCACCAAACAGAAGTAAAACACAAACAAAAAATTAATCATGAGAATTAAGTGTTAAAATTAAAATATAGTATTCGATGAATCATACATAAAAATCACACACTCTAAATTCACAGTCTTCATGCACGTTAAAAAAAAAAAATTAAAGTTCGTATGTCACAAAATTCATCAGTTGTGCAATATAATTTGGGTTAAAAATTTACCTATTTTCTAGCCTAATGCTCCGGGATTCTAAAGCTTCCCTTGTTGCAGATTCCTGCGTGTTGTAGAAATAAAAGAGGAAAGTTCAGGTTTGAAGATTGAAGAAGCTTCAGATTTGAAGATTGAGAAAGCTTCAGATTTGGAGATTGAAGAACCTTCAGATTGAGGAAGCTTAACGAAAGAGGAACCGAGGAATGGAAGCTTATCGTATATAAGCTTCGGATTCTGCTAGGTGCGTAACAGAGAGAAAGGAAGAAGCTTGATGAAGGTTCACATTTTTTGGTTCGAGCTTCGACAGCTTCTACGCGTATACATATTTAAAGGTGTTAATTGTTTGAACAGTGTGGGTTTATTTGAATATTTTTTAAAAAATAAAATGACTAATTTAAACACAAAAAAACTAAGCTAGCTTTTCTCAACACTTTTACATAGTAAAAGAAGCTTTTCTGTACAAAATTTGCATCTTGATCATCATGATCTGAAATTGTTAAATAAAAGAGATGAATTACACTAATTTAATAAGAATATCATATTTAACACTAATACGGAAAATCAAATATTGGTAAAAATTGTCAAACAACTAATATAACAATTATTTCTTTTTAAATAAATTCGTTTAACTTAAAAATCGTTATTTTATACTTACCCTTATGAGTTTTCAAAATCGACCTATGAAAACAATAAATCAAATAACATTTTTATTTCACACTTAAAGGAACAATAACAATAAATTTACCTCCTTATCTATTTACTAGTATCTTTGGAAATCTATAGGAATATACCCCTACGTGTGAACCAAATATCAAATTATCAATCAACCGGTTGTTCTCATACCTCGTTCAGTAATGGACGTCAAACATACTACCACCTCGATATCTCGTCCGGTATGAAAGTGATCTATACCTTCCAACTCCTTCCGGTATGAGACTTCTCATCCCCGTTCGACTGAAGTAACGTCTATGGTAGAATTTTCCTGTGCACTAGGTCCGTACACCCATACCTAGGGTACCCGATAAGCCCTTTAACATATATATTCACATTATTCACCAGCCACCAATCACTAGCCACCAACTAATTCCATGTTTACATACCAATAGAGTGATAATTACAAAAACAGTATAGATTAACAGCT